TGCCACTCCTCCACATGAGAACCAAATTCCTCCTTATTTCAGCAGTTAGTCTTGTGAAAGAGAATTCACTGCTTCTTGCTACTGACCTGTGATTAGTATCCATGTAGGATCCTGGGCCCAAGACAGGGTCTCCTGCACCTTTCCCAGGAGCAAAAGGATTTTGCTTCTAACCTTCTCTCATCAGCAAAGGAGCTTCACCCTATTTCCAACCTTTTCCCCAGAGTCAGATTGCTTTGCTTTCTGTTACTTCTCCAGAAGTAAGAGATGTTTACCTGGTCTCAGGGTGACAGAGGGTTTCCACCCCTGCTATGCACCCCCTAACTCCCCCAACCCTCTGCAGTTTGTGTTATAAGAGAAGGATCCACAGAAGTGAACAGGACTCCATATCTGTCCCCCCAAAACAGCTGATCCCTTATACACCTGCAAAAATCACTTAGAATCAATTTAAAGGTAGCCTAGTCCAAACTTTTATGCAACGCAAAAATCTTTAACCATTTAAGATTTCTCACATATATGTAACCTGGAGCAACTCTGTACACCCAAGGCAGCCTAAACAATTTTTGGACAAGTATTTTTTCATATTAGCCAAAAAGGACTATTCTAAATTTGCAATGATTTTGTTCTAATTTATTATTTCAGAGCTACCCAAAAGACCATAAAATACTTAAAAAAATGATTCTTTTTTTCCCAAGCTAAAATTTCCTAGTACCAAAAACTACTTTTACATTGACATTCATTGAGCTATAGTCCTGTGGTTTATGTCCTCTAGCTACATTCTCTCTCTGAGCAATCATATCAAATTTTTGGCCAGGTAGTGCCTCTATGAAAATGATACCCAAATATACTTTTGTTATCTCTTGCAACAGAGTGCTAATCCTACTGCTTTGAGTCTGTAGAGTTTCTCATAATGTGGTCAGCAGTCACAGGATATATGTACTTTTTAGACTGATCATTTCCCCTCTACTAGTGTGTGTGTGTGTGTGTGTTTGTGTGTGTGTGTGTGTGTGTATGAATGAATATACGTGTATTTTAGGAAAAACTTTATATGTCAGTGTTAGAAAAGTGTTTATATACAGCAATTTTACATTTACTTCTGCCTGAGTCCAAAATAGTCAGTAGTCCGGTGCAATTTTAGCATAAATTCTCACTCTAGGTAGCATAAATTAATACTCTATAGCCACATACAAGGAGAATCCCCCAAAAAAACAAAATTTTATTAAAAATTGTGTTTTTTATTCTACACGTTTAAACTTCAGTCACCTTCAAAGTACTCTTCTTTTGCTATAATACAACTATTGAGACAATTTTTCCACTGCTCAGAACAATTTCTGAACTAGTCTATTTTGATGCTTTAGTGCTTCTGCCATTTTTTGTTTCACCTCTTCCATGGGTAAAGCGTTTCCTTTTGAGGACTTTTTTCAACTGGGGAAACAAAAAGTTGCTGGGGCAAGGGTGATTAGGAAAAGTGGGGCACGGGAGTCGCCATTTTTTGGTCAAAAACTGCTGAAGAAGTGTGGACAGTGTGTTCATGAAAAATTACTCATCTTGAAATGGGCAAATGCATTGAAAGATTCTAAAAAGAAACAAATCATTGAAGCCCAATGCAGCCTCTCACAACAATGCTAGCTTGCACATTGATGCCAATTAGTTCCTAGAACACACCTTACATGGGAACCTGTACTACAATGGACCACCATACAAAAAGATAATTCCAGTTTTTGTGTGTGGGTGTGTGGGGGCTTCTCCCTTGTATAATACAGACAATAATTTCAATGTCTCAGACAATAATTTTCCTCACTCAAAAATTCTGCATAGTGAGAGACTTCCTCCAAAATTCTCTTGGTCTGTAGCCAAAGTTTTTCTTTGCCCACCCTTTACGAATGGCCATCTATCTGGTGCCTGGAGTTTATTCAGGGATCCTAGTTCCAGTTCTGCCCCTTCCCCATCTCCACCAACTGGTTTAGGCCTCAGATTTCAGCACTTGTTCCAATGTGAACAAAAAACTTGAATTTCTAAGCATGACGGTCTAAATTGAGTCTGATATTTTCTCCAGATCATTGCAGCAACAATGTTGGAGCTAATGCTCAGGCTTGAAATTTCCTCTAAATTTCTGCCACCCAGAGATTTAGCCTGGCTAAACTATGCATTTACATTTTTTTCCTATAATTCATCCAGTGTTTTATGGGCATGGGGGGTGGGTAGGGTGTCTGTGTGTGTTTTTGTGTGAAGGGTGTCTATGTTTTCTCAGTTGCTAGAGCTAGAACCCCACTGCATGTTCCTGGGAAACTCACTGTAACAAAAAATACACACACCATGATACTATCCCAAATCTTCCCATTTTGTCTGTGTTTCTGCCATAATTAATGGCATGCTGTATTCTTGGATTTCCAAATGTGAAATTTTGGGTTCATCTTAAATCCAACCGTTCTTTTGGTTCTCATATCCAGTTAATCATCAACTTAATTTTACAATTACAATATTTTACCTAATGTATCCCAGCAACTGCTATGATCCATGAATGTAATGAATATACTATTTATCTTCCAGAATATTTGTGAAGATTGAATGAGATAAATAGATCATATAAAGAACATTGACAAGACTGGAGTAGTATATTGAAAATAAATCAACTACCAGCTACCTAGTGACCAAATCAACACAGCATTTGTATTTAATCAATAATATGTATGGGCTTCCACAAACTTATATATCTCACATATCTACTTAGAATATATAAATGAAAAAATAAACAAAACATCTAATATGTAACTCTCTCATAGTTTACGATTTTCTTATTTTTATTTTTGTGGTTATCTGTGTACAGTGTCTGATTTCTCTTATAAACTGAAACATTTATGTGAAAGGATAAAAATTAACTAATACATTAAAATTAAGTCCTTATTTTCTACCAGCCACTTTTTTCATATTTTATCTCATAGAATTTTTACAATTCTATCATTAATTGTTATTGTTCCTACTTTACAGAAAAAGGAACTTAGACACATGGAAGTTAAATACGTTGATGATGGTCATAGGTAGAAAGGGGCAGACCAGAATTTGGACAAATAGATCCTGAATGTAGAGCTGAAAATATTGTTTGCCATGGTGTTGTGAATGAATATATTAACAGTATATTAATAGTGGGGTTTCTGTCCTTAGAGAAAGTCTAATATGTCACATCCATTCTTAAATCTGGTCCCCAAAGCTAAACTCTAATTTTGGTAATATACATGGAAAATGTGAGGGGATTGTAACTTTCTAGTTACAGTGAGTATGTATGTCTAAATTCAATTTAATAATTAAGCAGAAGTGGGGCTTGGTGGGGGCAGAAGAAAAAAAAGAGAAAAAAAAACTAAGTAGATCTTCTGGTAACTGTCACAACGTTGACTCATATTGGGTTCAGACATAAATGAAACAGCTGATTTTTTTTCCCATATAGTTTACTCATAATTTTTCTTCCTCGTGTCATAATTATGTAATAAATAGATATATTTTCTTATCTGTGAAAGACTTAAAATATATCCCAATTAAGTTGTATCTTCTTACTTTTAGCTCCTTAACAAAATCTGTTGACATTTCAGAATCCATATTTTGTCTTTCATGGTATTAATTATTCTTCCTAGGTTTTTGTCATCAGTTTTTGGTGTTTGTAGAATCACATATAAGAGGTACTGGCAAACATAATCAAAAGTATGCCTTATATTTTCATAAAAGAGATATAGTGGTATGCCATTAATATATGTCTCACTTTGGACCTCTGTATTGATGTTTTGTTAAGAAAATTATCCACAATAAGGGAAGTTAAAATATTTTTGTGCTGTGGATCCACAGCTTTGTGTGGGGAAAAAAAGGAAAAATATTTTCCATCTTTTCTTGAAACAAACTGTTTTAATTTTCCATTGAAATGACGAGTGCTAGTAACAGAACATTGAAAAACCATCGTTGTTAAAATATTTTCAGCTACATAAAAATATTGTAGAGTGAAACATAATTAGCACAGAATTAAGGAGGAAAGATTTACCACTATAGTTAATGGTAATACATGGAAAAGAATATCAAAATAAAGCAGATTGTTTAAAATAAAAACTTAAGCAAAGCTGAGATATGGAGAGACTAATGAAAAGTTTTTAGAATGGTGACCATAAAAATCTCTGTATATTTTAAGAATAGCCAGCAATTTTAATTTTAAGAAGAATTTGTCCTATGGACTTTATCATCAATTTTTTTAAAACAAATTACTTCAAGGATAGTGCAATCAAGTGATTGCCAAACATTCTAACACCACAATTGGTTGTTCCAAATTTGTTCTGAACTCTATGAATGTGATTTTTAATGTTTGCTCTCCAATACATAGATCCCCGAAACAGATGTGTTCTGAAACTCTGTATGGGTCTGCCATCATTACCTCATTTTGAATGTCTTGCAAAAACTACAGTCTTTGTCTAAGGCTAAGTTTTCTGCTGTCTCTCTCTCTCTCTCTCTCTCTCTCTCTCTCTCTCTCTCTCTCTCTCTCTCTCTTTCTCTC